TCTCACAAATTTACTATACTTTAAATTTTTAAAAAAATTCTTCTGAAAGTTCTAATTTTATGAAAAATCTGACTTAGAAATTTCTCTTTCATTCTAAAGTAATTTTGAATTTTTATATTAAAAGACAAGTTACCAGTTCAAAAGAGGAAATTGAATACTTTAAAACCATTAGGATGGCTATTATTAAAAATAATAATAATAAGTTAAGTGTTGGCAGGGACATGAAGAAATTGAAATTTTATTCCTTGCTAAGGGGGAGATGTAAAATTGTGTGGCAACTCTGGAAAAGAGCATGGGGTGCCTCAAAAGATTAAATGTAGAATTATTATATAATCCAGCAATTCCACTTCTGGGCATACATATGAAGAACTGGAAGCAGGGACTGGAGAAGGTATTTGTACACCAGTGTTTTATCAGTGCACTATTTGCAACAGCCCAAAAGGTAGAAGTCACCCAAGTGTCTTTCAAAAGATGAATGGATAAACAACCCATAGTACATATCTGCAATGTGAAATGGTTCAACTTTGAAAAGGAAGGAGGTTCTGACATGGGATATAACACAGACAAACCTTGAAGTCATGTTAAATAAATGAGTCACAAAAGGACAAATGTTACATGATTCCACTTATGAAATTCCTCTAGTAATCAAATTTATAAGACAGAAAGTAAATGGCGATTGCCAGAAGTTGAGGTGAGCCAGGAATAGGGAAATACTGTTTAATGAATATGGACTTCCTGTTTAGTGAAAATGAAAAAGTTCTGGAGTAGATGGTAAAGATGGTTGTACAACCACGTGAATGAACTTTGTGGTGCTGAAATGAACTCTTAAAAACAGTTACGGTGGTAAATTTTATGTCACGTACATTTTAACATTTAAAAATCCAACATAAAATGGGGAAATTTAAAAGCCTGCTTTCTTAAGCCACAGCTATTCTATGTCTAAAGACACTCAAAATATCAAAGTGATACATTAGAGCCATCTGATTCATATAAATAAGTGGAGGAAAAAATGACAAATAAAAATTGTGAATGTAACTTTTGTCTTTATAGATACTCTATTGCATAAGAGACAAGAAGGCAACATAGTATCTTCAAATAGTTCAGTTGTAGCCTCATTTTGAAACCAACCATTAAAAATTTAAAGGAATTGATTTTTTAAAATGTAGACATGATGAGAACTTTAAAAGACAAACATTGTTACATTTTTTCAAAGTAGAAATGAAAAAGCTACTGCAACATCTTACAGAGCAAGCTGTTGTATTACCCAGAGAAGCACACACAATACCCAAGACACCAAAGAAGCTTTGAACAATTGACACTGTGGAGTGCCTGTGGAAAAGTATGGCAGAGCCACTTTCCAATGACACAATAACTCCTCATGTGAAAGGCTCGTCTACAAACATTAAAACCAACTTAACATCCCAACTAAGGAATCCTACTTTTCCCTTATAAATGAATTATGACTAACTGATGCTCATACCAAATAAAGAAATTTTAAAATGTAAATGCCTGTCAACAAAAACTAGTGCTGAACTAGTCAACATGTTGAATAACTCTGGGAATCTCATTATCACTGAACAATTACATTGACACTGACACTGCTGGTGAAAAGCAATGGTGGGTAAAATTGCTAGTGTCTTAGCTTGGATCAAGGCAGCAACACTAAGCTATTCCAGCAGTTACCATATTGCTCATTGTCACTCATTTGTAATTAAAGGGGGGAAAGGGCACCAATTTAACCTAAAAATGCCCATGATGAAGCAGTACAAATGTTATCAACTCTTGGCTATTAATTTCTCATGCTTTAAACATCATATGACACTTGTAAAGTACATCTAAAATATTTCTGCTGCATCCTCAGGTACAATGGTCACCTCAGGTGATCAAGTTGCAAGCTGCACTACCTACCTTTTCCATGGAGTACTATTACCACTTCCAAAAAAAAAAAAAAAAACGAAAAAAAAGAAAGAAAATAAAAATGACTCTCAGATAAACTATAGTAATTTATATCTGAGACTTGGCAGATATTTCTAGAAAATGAATTATGTGCAACTAAGCACTTCAAAGACAACCAATGGCAGTATTTGTTATCAATAATAAAGCAAATATTTTAAATTTTAGAAAACCTGCGTTCACAACTTTGTGCTTCCTTACTTAGAACTTTTTGATATGCATAACAATATGTTAGCATTTTAGAAGATTGATATAAATCAATCGATGTTTTCCAAATAACCAATGATTAGTGTCAAAAACAAAACTTTATGATGATAGATGATCTATTCAAACAATACAATGTAAAGTAATGGATTATAACAGAGTATGAAAAAAAAAAAACTACACTGGTATGGTTTCAGATTCCACATTGCAGCCAACCTTTAAGAAGCCATGTGGAGATGCTGTCTTGTGAGTATGGCATGTCCTATAATACTCCATCCTGCTAGCTCATGCACTCTAGACACTCTCTGCTGACTTGATGAAGTAAGCACTTGAGTTGGTAAAGCTCACAGGACAAGAAACTGCAGGTGGCCTCTAAGAAGGAAAGGAGGGTGGCCTCCAGCAAGTAGCAAGGCCCTCAATCCCACAGAACCAGTTCCACCTTCCCCATGGAGTTTGGTGAGCATTGAGCAGTTCTTTACAGTCCAGCCCCCAGATGAAGACATAGCCTAGTTGACATCTGATTGCAATCTGGTAGGAATTCAAGAAAAGGACTCAGTTTAAAGTGCTGGCCAGACTTCTGACCCACAGAAGTAATGATATAATACATGTATTTTGGTTTATGGAGAAAAAGAATCAAACTACTACTTATTGGATCTTTGTGTAACATACCTACCAAAAGCCTATCCATAATTATCCAACAAAGCTATTAAAATGCCTCCCTTTTCCAACTACATGTCTGTGGTGAGGGAAGATTTCTTAGTATGTTTCAACCAAAACATATTGAAATCGACTGAATGAAAAAGTGGATTTGAGAATACAGCTATCTACTAAGCCCAAATATAAAGAGATTGGCAAGAATGGTATTTGGTGATATGTTTCTGAAAATAGTTATTTTTAATAACTTACAATGAACCTGTTACTTTAAATCAATATATTTTAAATTTCTTAGGCTTAATTTCTAATATGGTAAATATAAATTGGTGTAATGCACAAAAACCCACTATTTCAAAGCCTCCAAAATATGAGCAAAGGGATGTTAGGGTCAACAAATTGAGAACCCCTGCAATGCTATTTCTTTTTTCTATGCCACATGACACATACCCCTCTCCATTTGTTTGGAGAGTTGGCATCCTTTGCCCAGTTGGCTATCCCAGACTAATGTGAGCCCTTTCCTTCTGAAAACCCAGGGAACTCATCTGGCACCAGCTGCTGCTTTCTTCAGTTTGAACATATATACACATCTAGAGTGAAGCTCGGAAGGAAAGGGACTGTCATATGTGGCATGTGATAAACACTCACCAACACCCCACCTGTCACCTCCATAGATGACGGAATCCTAAACTGAACAGAAATGCAATTCATACAAGACACTGGGCTTCCACCCATGCCTGAGAAGCAGACCACACAAGACATGTGATAAGAGTGTAGGACATATGTCTCTCAAAACGGTCATTGGGAGCTGGGGTTGTGGCTCAGTGGTAGAGCACGTGCCTTCCATGTGTGAGGCACTGGGTTCGATCCTCAGCACCACATTAAAACTAAATAAATGTATTGTGTCCATCTGCATCTAAAAAAAATTAAAAAAAAAATAGTTATACTGGAAGAGGCAGATGAGAACAAACACACAGATACTAAAATTTCTATATGTAAAAAAAGATAATATAGATAAGTGATATCATACCGTAAGACCTTGATTCTCAATGAACAGAAAATAGATTATTGGAGGATAATTTTGCAGAAAAAAAAAGAAAAAGAAAGAAGGGAATAAAGAAAGTACCATTGTGGGGCAGGGATTATGACTCAGAGGTGGAACGCTCGCCTAGCATGCATGAGGCACTAGGTTCGATCCTCAGCACCACATAAAAATGAGATATATTGCATGCACCTATAATTAAAAAATAAACATTTTAAAAAAAGAAAGAAAGTGCCCTTGTGGGAAAGGCAACAGAAAAATCAATACAATTTCCCCAATATCTCTTCCTGAAAAAGAAAAAAAAATACATTAAATAGAATATCAATTACTAGAGGCTGAATTGTACCCTCCCCCCAAAGTGAGTATGATGGGTCCTAACCATTAGTACCTGTGAATGTGACCCTCATTTAAAAATAGGGCCTTTACAGATGTACTCAAGTTGAAACAAGGTCATTTGGGTAGACCCTAATGCATCATGACTGGTGAATAGACAGACAGGGCCTGTGGAGATGGAGCCAGAGATTGGAGGGATGCTGCCACAGTTCAGGAATGCCCAGGGCTCCCAGAAGCTGCAAGAGGCAAAAAAAAAAAAAAAAAAAAAAGGATCCTTGGCTGATGGCTTTGAAGGGAGTGTGGCCTTGCCAACAACTTGATTTTGAACCTCAAGCCTCCAGAATAGTGAGGAATTTCTCTTGTTTTCAGGCACCCAGTGTGTGCTACTTTGGCATGCAACCCTAAGAAACTAGTGCAGCAATAGAATGAGTGTTCCTTCTCTATTCAGTCACATTTCCAAGTGGCCTTTCCTCAGTAAAAACAAAAAGGGAAAGAAATCTGAAATGCAAATCTAGTAATAGTAGAAAAAAAATTTTTTTAACTAGGAATTTCCTGAGTTAGATTTTTTTTTTTTTTTTAAGGTTCTGGGAACATGTTTCTGATCAAACACTGCTGTCAAAACTCAAGCCCACTGAATCTCTATAAATGTGCCTATAAATACAGAGAAAAGATTATTTATCTCTCTCACATTTCCTCAACTCTTTGCTACAAAAGGAAGTAATCCAGACCTAATATTTAAAGTTACCAATACTATTACTATGTCACAAAAGAAATAAGAGATGACAAGTCAAACACAATTCTGCCCAGACTCTATCAAGCCACAGGGACTTCTGGGCTAAGATGAAGCTTGGCTCATATACCAGCATGCCAGCCATTCACAAGTCTCAAGACCCAGATCTTGTCTCTAGCATATAGAAAAGGTACTTGGCATTATATAATTCATAGAAAAAAAATCATTTGAACATATAATCAAGCTTCACTTTATGAATTTAGCTTCAGTCTCACTCTTTGTTTTAATCCATAAAACAAGTAGATCTTAGAGCTGTGGGGATTTCCAGAGTCCCTTGAGCTGATGGCCCATTCAATATCCATAAACATCAGGTAACTCTACTGGTTTTCTAACTATGGGCCCTAACCCTTTAGAGGGCAGTGAAATTGATATAGTATATTCCAACCACCATTTTGTGGGGGGGGAAGCAAAACAATATTCAAAAGGCCCCATTCCTAGTAAAGGTAAGTACTCTTTTGTTTCAGTTGTTTAAGTATGCAGATGCTATAGGTACTATTGTGAAGGAAAACATTTTTTGTTATGTACCTTTCATTCCAAATTCTATCAGGAAATAGATGACTTGCTCAAACTAGGCACTTAGGAATTTAATGAAGAAATTACTTCTGAAGTTTTGCCAGGGCTACAGGAAGTCATCAAGGAGTAGTGTTTAGACAGTGGTAAGTCCTTGCCATAGACTCAGTCCCATGAAACCAAGGATAGGAGTGATCTGACACAGAGAAGAATGGCTTATGGGTGTGTCACTGGACCTGAGCTATGGCCTTTTAGAAAAGGATACAGACAGCTGACCATGACCTGGTAGGAAGGGAGCTGCCCATCCTCTGTTCTATTGTTGGGTTCTCCTTAAGGGCTGATCAACTCTAACTAAAAGCCAGAGGGCAAGAGGGTCGATGCTGCTCAGCCTCCTGGGTCTCAGGGGAGACTGGAGAAGGTATGGAGTGGGTCTTGCTGGGGCAAACAGGATGTGACTATTGAAAACAGTCTAAAAGCCCTTGATTTTATTTATACATTCATTAATTTATTCTAACAACTTTTATTCCTTTGGACACATTGTTACCACATCTGTACTCAAATCCCAATCTTGAATCAAGAATCTAATTCAACACTGAACAATTCATGCAGAAGATTGGCATCTCTGTGAAGTCATAGCTTATGAACTCAGCCAGGCCCTCACAGTACTCATAAACCCTTTCATCTGTCCTTAGTCTCCTACCTCTCCTAGCCCTACCTGTGCACTATAAGGGCACAGACCATGTCTTATTTAGCTCTGTATTCCCAGGCCTCAGAGGCTTAGAACACAGGTGCACTCACTGAAATGCCCACTGAACCGTGAATGGGCCAAGCCTAGCCTGCTACCTCTTCCCCAACTCCCCCTAGGCATTCCTGACCATAGTCAACCCCCAAGCTTGGTAGCTTTGGCCCCTAATCCTCAAAGCTCATTTCCTCTTCTGCTTCAATCATCTAAGCTCCACTCACTCCCACAGTAGGATCTGAGCCAGTTCCTCCACCCCCAGTCTCAGCTCCCTCTATCTTCATTTTCCAGATCAATCAATACAAAAGCAAATCAAACAAGGTCCCCACCCTGCCCAGAATACTGGACTCCTCCAGCTCATTAGCTAGTCGTAACAAAGGCCTCCTGGCTTTGACTCCAACTCTTCCCTCAGTACTTCCTCCCACAATCACTCTTGGGAAACATGCCATTAACACTATCCTTTTCTCCCCTGCTTCCACCTCCAAAACAAAATAAATCAAACAAAAACACCCACCTTCCCCATCCTTCACTGCCTGCCCTGGTAAGAATCTGAATATCCATTCATCCTTCAAAAGCCTGCCCAGGTACAGTTCAGAGTGATCCTTGCCCAAAGCAAAGCTACCCCACCACCACTTCCACAGTTCTCTATCATGATATGTACTGCTTGGTTACATTGTCTACTTTGCCCTCTTTGTCCAGAAGCCTGACTTATGTTACTCTATAACCCAAACAGAAAATATGAACGCTTGACTCAGAGTCGTTCCCTAAATTGTCTCCCAAGTGACTAAAGTGACTTTAAGTTTGTTACAGAAAACGGTAGCAAAGTACTACTTGGACGTCTGAGACCTCACTGAGTACAAATTTTTGTTTTTGTTTTATGGAATGCAGATAGAATTAGGAGACTGCAGCTATTTCCCATTATACTTTTGTTTTTTTCCCCTTTTGAGGTATTGGAAATCAAACCCAGGGTGCTTGACCACTGTGATACATCTCCAGCCCCCCCTCCATTTTTTTTTTTTTTTAATTTTGAGACAAGGTCTCACTAAGTTTCTGAGGTTGTCTCAAACTTGCAACCCTCCTGCCTTAATCTTCCAAGCAGTTGGGATTACAGGCATGTACCACCATGCTCAGCTTCCCATCATTCTTAATGTAGGTACCCCATGACCTCTATACCCCTCTGCATAAACAGGCCACCTCTCTGCTGATAAAGGGAAGCACGAGATTTACCTCAAATCCTTTGTCAATAGCACAATGTCGCTTAGAGGTCATATTTAGAGGACTTGTGCATCTAAAATAATAGTGGTGAAATCTATCTTAAATCTGCCTTAAAAGGCATCAGAAATCTCTGAATGCAACTGCCTGTAGACCCTTATTTTCTGCCCCAAATGAAGCAATAAAATAGATCTGATCATTTCCCCCCATGAATGTGCTCCCTGCTCTGGCTAACATTAGCCAAAGTTGAGGACATTCCTTCTGTCATCTGTTTCCATCTCCAAGTTGGCCGTATCACCTACTCTGCCAGGGTGCAGAACCATCCAGAGAGTTTAATAACCTCACCCTGAAGTACAGGACAGGAGCAACATAGGCCATGTATATCTAGATGATACTTGGCACTGCGTCCGATTGATAGAAACTAAATTGAGACTAAAACCTTTTTAACAAGCTTGTTTCATGATATCCTGCTATCTCATCACACTGCAATCCAGTGAGAGCCCTGCAATCAAAAGAATGGCTAAACCCAGCACCAGGAAGCAGACCTAATTTTAGCAGCCCCCAAGACAGATATCAGGCCTTTCAAAAATAGAGAAACCATCAAAATGGGGATCATCTAGCATCATCCTTAAAATCAACATGAAATTAATGAATACTATCTTGAAAATCAAACATTGTTCAAATATTAAGAGATTGCATTGCACAAATCTTCATGAAGCAAAGTCACTCTGATGTTACTTCATTGAAAATCAGCTACAGAGCACTCAGTCTCAAAAATCTAAGAAGTGAGTCAACCTGTCAGAATTTGAAGCTGTTATTCAAGACAATCAGTGTAATGGACCACTAAACTACTGCCTACAGCAAATGTGGATATGATGAGGCATTTGACGATAATCAAGAGAAAAGTTGCATTTAGAGTGTTTTTTTAAAAGAAAAAAAAAAGTCTACCTCGTATAACAATTTCAAACTTACAAACCCTTTGCCAAGTACAAGGTCATTCTCATCTTTATAAAGGAAATATAAAATTCAATGTAATTTAACAAGAATATTTGGAACCCATACTATGTTTCAGGTACTGTGCTGAAAACAAGGACAGAAAGATAAACAAGACACACTCTCTGTTCTCAACCAGTTCACAGAGTAGTGGGGGAGATACAATGGTCGCAGCATGTGGCAGAGCCTGCCTGGCTACTCGGTGATATCCAGGTGGGCTACTTCTCCCAAGCCAGTGCACTTGGAGAACATGGGTAGTCTCACCAGTAAAATTCAGGCAGAAGGGATGTCTGCCATTTTCAGGACAACCCCAAAACTCCCAATGAACCCTTCACATATTCTGAGAAAAACTTTGCTGTGATAAGCCACTGATTTGGGGGCTGCCGTTACTCAGCAGATCCTTATAAAGAGTGTAATATAAAGTGTGTTTTACAAAGCCAAAACATAGACATGGTGAGCTCTGGGAACACAAGTGTGAGGTCTGTGAGCTATAGAAAGAGAAAAGGAGGGAGGGGATCCTAGTAAAGAGGAGACTGGAAGACTCACTCCAAAGGATGGGCAGGATTTACCCCGGATGGAGAAAAGCCTGAGTAAACACTAAACTGCCAATAGGAATTTAAAGGAGGGGGGGTAAAAGAATAGAGAAACTGGGCAGGGGAGCAAAGTTTGGGTTTTCACTAAGAGCAAAGGGAACCACTTAAATATTCCCAGCAGCACTGAGGGCTTCATTAGATTTTCACTACAGGAAGAATGGTTTGGAGGAAAGGAGAAATGGTAGAAATGGGAGGTCAACTAAGGATCTGCTGTAATTTCCTTCTATAGAAATGAGAAGTGGTGTGGCCTGGGGGTAGAAAGGAGGCCACAAATGCATGAGATGTGACATCTAAGCATCAAAGGAATTTTGTGACCAACTGGACATGTGGTAGAGGATGAGGGAGGGTATGTCAACATGGAGGAAGGTTTCCAGGGTTCTGAATCAGAAAACCAATTAAATGATGGCACCCCATACAAAGCAACAGACCAAGGGGGATTGGGCAAGCAGATACAAGTGGGCAAGCAGATGGTTTTGCTCTATGGGACCTCCAGGTGATGAAGTCTAGAGGAAGGCAGCTGTTGGGGTCTGGAGAGCACTGAGGGCTAGAGGGGTGTATCTGGGGACAGGATGAGATAGAGAACAAAGTCAGAACCCCAGGGTATCAGCACAGAAAGAGGTAGTATAGGAGGCATTTATGAAGACTAAAATGAGAAAGAGGCATTTATAAGTTCTTTTGAAATTCACCCAGTGGTGGGATAGCAACAAGAATAAGTATAAAAGGTAACCATGAATTTCAGCTACCAGATCTTGATAATCTTGTTGAGTATAGCTCATTTGGGGAGAGTGTGAAAACCTAGTAATCAACTGGGTAATGAGACCTTAATAGAAATAGTATCTGATTCATTATCCAATTTAATGAAAACTCTCCACTTTTAAAAAATTGATACAAATATTTTAAACAAATTGACTAAAATATGAGTGTATTCGTAACATAATTGTATGCCTACAACTATAACCCCTCCAAACACACTCCCTGTTGCTTTTTCATGCTTTATTTCTACCCACAGAATTCATCCCTCCTTACCCTAAGGCTTATTTTATCTTTTATCTCCTCCCACTAGAATACCAAGTTCAATAAAGGTAGAGGTCTTTGCTGAACCTGTGGCTCTGAGAAGAGTGTCAGGTACAATAGAAAGGGTGGTTGGATGCTTATAGTTGTAAATAGCACAATCAAAAAAGCTTCTAAGAGAAGGAAACAATCATCTAAGATGGAAAGGATGAGGGAAGCAGACAGGTGGACAATGGTTAGAAAATATTTTTGGCAAAGAAATCAACATGGGTGTTGGGGACTTGTCTAGAAGTTGGAGAACATGTGAGAGGCAGGGGCTGAGGCAGAGTGAGAGACAGACAGGTAATAGAAGATGAGAATGGAGAGGTAGAATATCAAGTGTCAAGGTCCCCAAGAACATCCAGGTTCAGTGGTTCACTAAAAGGCCTCAAGGGCTTTAGCAGAGGAATGCTCATGGTTATGACTTATTAGTGAAACAACACAAAGCAAAATCAGTCAAAGGAAATGGAATTTGACATGAAATCTGGAGGAAACTAGGCATAAGCTTCCAAAGGTCTTCACTGTGGAGAGGACATGCTTAATTCCCCCAGCAATGAGTTGTGATAGCACATGTAAAATGTCACCCAACAGGGAAACTAATTATTAGAGACTCCACACCCACAGCTGTTATTAGGGACTGCTCAGGAAGGCACCATTTGCTTAACATGTGAAAATCCTAGCATTCCTGGTCCCTGAAATAGAGCAGGTTTTCAACAAAAGTCATGTTGTTTGCATAAACAGTTTTGGGGCAGTTATGACATTCTTATAGGGAAGTGATGAAAACTCTCCACAAATCTAAGTGACAGGATGCTAGCCAAGAGCCAAGCTTTTCAAGCAAGCCTTTCTAAGGATTGCAATTTCAGGTCTGCCATGTTAACTTTCTTCTGCACAGATAGCCAGGTCAGGGAGCACTTTATAGGCCATATGAGAGAGATGGAAGCAATCAGAGGACCTTGAATAGAAAAATGGCAGGACCTGACTAGATTTTAAATGATCACCCTAGCTCACAGGTTAAGGAGGAGTTATAGTGGGGAGTATAGAGGGCAGAAGTAGGAAAACTTTAAGAAGAAAAAAAAACCAACAGAAAACTCATGAGAGCAAAGAAATCATCAAGGATGAGGATGAGGACTTCTGTCTAGAACAACTGGAAGGATGGTATCACCTTCTAATAACATGGTTAAATTATGAGAGGTGTGGATTTGGAGAGCGGGACCAGGACATGCTTTTAGTGCTAAGTGCCCACCTGATATTCAAGCAAAAGTGTCAAGGAGAGCCCTGGATGGAGTTAGTAGTTCAGAGGAGAGATCTGCACTGGAGCAAATGGTATGTGGAGTCACATTACTAGAAGAACTCACCACAGAATAAGTAGAGAGAGACTAGAGGAGGTTTAAGAACTGCGTCCTGGGGCATGCTAATGACAGGCTGTAGTGGAGGAAGGAAGAAAAGAGCCAAAGAGACTGATAATAGCCAGTAAGGAAGGCAGAAAAATCAGGAAAGTATGAGATATAGGAAACATACTCTTCAAATATTTCGTATTTTTAATAGTCAAGCAGCATCTCAGTTTCACTAAAAATGGTTCTAATAATTGTCCAGAAATTGGTTCAATGGCTCTTTGTTGGTCCATTTCTTCCTGGTACATTCACAGGCTGGTACAGCAAGGTGAAAACTGGGGCAGGCTTTGACTTGCTCTCCAGTCCAGCTGCTTTTTTATCCCTACTGTTTACATGGGGGATTTCAGATTTAGAGTCTCTCTGCCACCTCTGAACAACAAAGAATAAATGAAGATCCTTTTCCAATGGCAAAGCTCTTATCAGTACAAAGTGGCAACATCTTTAAGAATGTCAAGTTAAGAACTGCTGGGATCCAGGCTTTAAGGAAGTGGTTTTCGGAAGCAGCTCAGAGAAACCATCAGAAGAGCACAGAACCTGAACTGTTCATATAGGCAACCTGTTTGTGGCTAATTAAATGAAAGTGAATTAAAATATACTTACTTGCAGTAGCCACATTTCAAATATTTAACAGCCATATGTTTCTAGTAGCTATTTTATTAGACACAGATCCAGAACATTTCCATCGTACCAGAAGGTTCTTTTGGGATGCACTTCTGCAGACTTTCCAAGATAGGCCTAAAGCTCTGAGTTTTTAAGTGATTCCTCAGATGATTTTTAACTCTCAGTCTCTTTAGAAAACAGTTTCATAAAAATCTAATGCCACTTGTCCATCTTCCTCAAAAAGATTCTAACACAGAATGCCCGGAAATGAATACTTCACTAACTAAGCTATTTGAGCCCAAGATACCAACCTCCATATCAGAGTTGTGGCTCCTAATCCCACACAATGCAATTACCCTAGCTCAAATGAACCAAACTGCAGTCAACCCCTGGTCAGCAAACCTTGTGTTCAGGTTGTAAATGTTGAAGAGAGAAAGAGAAGGTCCAGGGACATAACTCAAGTGTCTTCCAGGAGGCCAGACAAATAGCAACAATGCATTAAGTGGGCCATAAGTAAGAGAATAAGAACAGAGGGAAAAGTTAAACCCAACAATAATCATTTACCCTCACTGGGCAATAATGGAGACTGGAGCATTAATAATTCCTTCTAAAGACAAAAGAGGTGTCTTAGTTCCAACTGATTGTTGTCATGTGGGAAAGTAAAGCCCAGTATTATGAGAGTTTCTGATTTGTTTTTCCCCAAAAGATGATCGAAATTTGTATTTTTATGTGAAATCTCAAAAATTTTAGACACTGACAACTAAATAAGAATAGATCATTAAGACCTAAGAAAATATGTCTGTGGGTCACAGCAGACCCCAGGATCCCAATGTTTACAAATTTAGAAGCTTTTCAATACTCTAGTCCAGTGGCAGAAGACAAAGCAAGTTAGAGCTGATAGTGAAACAGTTCTATCCACATTCAGGGAAGAACATTTACTCTATACAAAAGAAGAGGAGAAGACTGAATAGGAAATAAAGCACTTAAGTAAGTCAAACAATCAATAAACATTTCAGGAATTCAGTCTGGACCTAAACTATGTACATAAGAACCTTAGAGCCTATTTAGGTAACAAGGCATCACATGCTGAAAAGTTCAGAAATTCACGTTAGGGCCTACTTCTCCAGGGTAATATCACACCATATCATAAGAGATTTTTGTTACTGCACAAATTCACTTATATCCTGATCCCACAATTAATCATGGAGTTGTTAGTCTTATCAGAGAATTCTAAGTTCTGGAAAGCTGGTCTCCACTTATAAAAACAAATTCTCCAAAATAGCTGAATATAGAAGAGCTTCATTTTGAAAAGCCTATCAAATATTTATTTTAAAATAAAAAGTATATTCATATATACAGTCAGATCCATACGTTTGCATTTTTTAAAATCTAGCATGCTCTCTAGCTCATGAACTTCTTATCTCAATCATTTGAACTCCTGAACACACTATACACTTTTATTACTATAGGAGTCTCTTCCTATTCACTTGGACTCATGATGTGCAATTTCATAATTTGAGTACTTTCCCAGGAAATAATTGATTCAGGGTAAGAATAGAGGGACAGTCACGTAATGAAAGGGTAGTTTACAGGTATCTAAGACATAGAATCTGCTATCAAAAGAGTTTAAAGTGGAGTTTTAACTTTAGCAAAAGCAAAAGATGAGTGCTAGATAACCTGTTCTCAACTCTGGCTGGGCTTGGAATAACTTGGAGTGCTCTTTGAAATACTTATGCCTAGGCTCCACTCCATACCCACTGGATGAAAAAAAAAAAATGGCAAAAGGGAACTGGGAATGTGTCCTGTTCAAAATGTTAAACATTAAAATTGGAGGCCTGGATTGAGAACTCCTACAGGTTGTGATTCAATCATCCATTCACCTGTGACACCAGTAATTTTGATGATAAATTTAACTAATTACTCAGTGATTCCCATCTTGACCACTTAAGAAGACAATCACCTTTCCACTAACTACTTTGCTAAATTGGATTTAGAGCCCAGGACACTGATAAAGTACCAGGATCCAAAGATAAGGCATCCTGCAATTCTCACCCCTTAGACAACTCACCTCTCTAAGGGAGTTCATGGGCAGCAGGAACCTCAAAGTCCCAAATTTCAGAATATCATTAGAGCCTTCCCAAGAGTTCCCTGGTTCTTAAGTATCTCACCTACTTCTGTTCTGTTGATTCAGCGGGTTCCCCACATTCCACAAATACCAGTTTTCTTTGTTTATTCTCAACAGGTGGTGGTGACTCCTCTGATGCTGTTTACAAAATCCAGAAGGGCTTCTATGGGCTTTCCCCTACCTTCTAAACCTCAGAAACTACAACTTCCATCCTAATCTTAAAATCTACCTTTCTCTAATATCAATTATTCAGGAAAAATATATTTCCCCCAAAAGTGGAAAACTCAAATTCATGTTCCAGTCACTGTGTTTGCTTCATTATAGCTCTCTCCACCTGGATGACTAAAAGATCTTGACCATTTTTTTTGTAATTTGGCTGAGGATTATTATTATAGTTGCTTTGAAAATCCTACAATATTTGTCTCAGATGTTGTCCCTCTCCCTATAACATGTACACTTGAACAATGAAAGATATAATCAAAAGAAATTTGTTGATGTCCCATGGCTTGGGTATAGTTCAATTATAGAGCATTTTCCTTACATATGTAAGGCCATGGGTTCAATCCCCATTACTGGGGTGGTGAGGGGGATTGCTATATTGAGGAATCAGTAGGGAGCAATTGTCTTTTCAAAATCTGTAAAAAAGATGTATATATTCTGGTATATAACATATGAGGTGAAGTTGTTAATGACTGATAGCAATCCAATTCAAATTTACTATTCATGCCTTTTTTTCCCCAATCTGTGAAATGGGGACATCTACCTTCTAAGATTGTTTTGAGAGTGAAGTCATGTAATATACATAAAGTTCCTGGCATAGAGGCTACATGCAATAAGTACAATACACGTTAGTTGTTACTGAGTGCAGGGCTTAAACTTTGCTGTCCGGGGGGGGGGGGGAAATCTTTTAAATCTTTTACTAAATTTACAGAAAAGTGAATTTATTATAAATTGTTTTTTAATTGAATTTTGACATTTATGGCCTTTTTCCATTATTTTTAAAATTCAATGAATAAAAGCAGAGAATTGAAGTATTTCTTGACATTTTTGTTCCATTGTAAGTGCCATTTATCAGTTGAGCCTTGTTATGATTATATTATTTAAAAAGAAACTAGAGGAAAAGAGTATGAGGAGGAGGAAAACACCACTTGTCAAATTGAAACTTTAAAAGCTAAAAATGAGGAAAATTTTATAAGCTGCAGGTAACCTTTAAATGTCACATTCACTAACATATAAATGTAAACACAGAAAAATGTAATGTCTGTTAATAGTAAACCGATCAATGCAATTACATTGCACATTCTCTGATATAAATTATGCTTCCAGTCCAGAATCCCAACAGTTTTTAACACCTTTTAAGATCAAATTACATTGCATTAAAAATCTGTTGGTTAGTTCTCTGAATGTTATTTAGAAGCTTGTGGTTTACCTCCATATTTGAACAACTTAGCCCTGTAGTGAACTTCTAAATGTGTAAGAGTTGGGAGGTCAAATTATTTTTAATAATAAATTAAAAATAAATTTATTATCTTAATAGTATATCTTAAAGATTATCATTACTCCTAACTCTAGCCAACTTTCAGAAGTTAAGGAAATATGATTTTAAAAACAATTGGTTACACATTTAGATCTGTTTTTAACTGACATATATAAATAACACATGCTAATGTAGTAATGCTAAGGGGTGAATTCTCATATTGCTTTATAGACCACCTTAAATTTTTTCCCTCATCTCAATTCTATCAGCAAAGAGTTCAGCTTCACAGATTATACTTAATATCCCAATAAACCTTTCACTGTACTATGCTCCAGTTATTGATGCTCAAAGAAAAATACACATGTATTTGTCCAGAATCAGATTTTTCTATAGAGTAATTCATAGTGGAAGCATAGAAGGTACAGGTATTTCTTAAATTCCTCTACTATATACTTGAAAGAAACAAAACTACTTGATTACTTTGGATATCCTATGACCTTAAAAGAAATTAAAACTTACATCTTTCCAACCCAGATTGGCCAATGTACACTACTTAGGTAATCCCATAACATGAGAACAAATATCAAGAGAACCGCTGGCACCTAAAACAAGAGTTTGTGACTTGCCCTGCTTGAAGAGGATTTGGGGCATATAAAATGTTCCATGTGAGAATTCAACAAAGTAAAAGATATCTTTCAAAGTGCTCATTTAAGACAGGCACAAAGGCACATATTACCCAAACACCTGAGTGAATTCTAGAACATAGCTAGATTTTCTGCACATGTATTGCATTATTTAAAAAAAAAAAAAAGTTAATTTTTACTTGTTACTGACTTCAGGGACAGAGCTGAGGGCATCTTTCTCATTTTACTAGTCACTCAGGACCCGGCAGGACTCACCTAGTAATTGCTCATAGAATCTACAGTTAAACTGAAAACGCGTTCAATGTAGACTGATTGATGCAGGCAAATGACATCCTTCCACCTAAATCCCTACCCAGATCCTTAAGAGGACAGCTCATGAGGCGGAAACTCAGAAGGCCTTATCAGTTATAACTTTGTGTAAGTGTTATTTGCACCAATAAACTTTCTAACTCCACGGAGCCTAAGTGAGGCGGGCCTTAAGGGGTCAAAAATCACACTTCAAGTGAGCAGCACCTAGTGTCCCAGCAAAAGAGTTCTAAACCTGTGAGTCTCAAACTTCTTAGGGTAGTGCAATCACCTGGAAATCATATTAAAGAGCAACGAGTTAGTGAGTTTGGCTTGGAGTCCCAGATTGCTTATTTCTAAGGAGCCCGCAATTGAGGGCGATGGGATGCTGTCATTCCACACAAACGCCCAAAGGCACCTGAGTCACTTATGTTAGCAACACAGCAAAGTTGTAGCCACAACTTGAGCCCAGTAGTCGCCTGGGTGCTGTGCGTCTCCTTAACAGCGCCTTCAGGTCTCAGAGCACCTGGCAGGTGCACTGGCCGCGGGGCACTCGTGGGTAGCCCGCGCAGCAGCCGCGCCCCCTTTCTCGGGTCCTGCCTGCACGCCCACCGCGCGGCGCTCACCTTTTCCCGGGTCTTCAGGTACCGCTGCAGCGCCTGCTGGGTGAGCTCCCCGACGCGCAGCTGGCCCTCTTTGCAGGGCACCACGATGCCCGTCCGGCCGAAGCACACAGTTACTTTCATCCCGGCTCCGGTCTACCGCGCCGGGTCCGACCGACAGGTGTCTGGCCCCGCGGATGCAGCCCCCACTCGGGGGATCGCCGGGCGCTGGCGGCCCGGGAGCCCGGCACCTCTCCCCGGAGACCCCTCGGGGTCAGGGGCTCGCGGCAGCTCCCCTTCCACCTACGTAGGAGGCCGCTGGCGGGTGGGAATCGAGGAGGGGGCGGCGGCGGGAAGGGCTACCTCCCAGGTGGCCGGTGGCCGTGACGACGGTTCGTGGCCCGCTCCTCCAGCTGCTGCTCGGGCCCGGCCCAGGCGGCTGCTGCTCGACCGCCAAAGTGAAACCGTGGGCTCGGCCCGGCCTGGCCCTGAGCTGGCCTTGGCCCTGGCCCTGGCCCTGGCAACGGTGGCAGGGCCGGCCCCAGGCCCCGGGCTGGAGTGGGCGGCGGCGGCGGCGCGCGAGGCCGGAGTTGGGAGGAAACTTTTGCGCCCGCTCCCAACTCCACTGCGGCGCGCGGCGCTCTGGGCTCCCGCGGCCCCGGAGCCGGCCTGGGCCCGGCTCTTAAAGGGGCCGCGGCGTTCCTTGGCCCCGCCACGCGCTTGGCGGTGTTGCGCGGGGACTGTGAGGACAGGTAACTGGAGCCTAGATCCTCGTGCCCCGCGATTCTCTCCTCCTGCACACACGCACTCGGAGCTCTAGGGAATTGTAACGGGACCTGAGAGCTACCATCGGGAGATTGAAACTGGATCTCATAAAGCACACTTGAGGGAATAGCTAGGAGACTGCAGAACTACTCCTTTAAAATAAGCAAATTGGAGCAAGATTCAAGGAAAGCCCGGGAGCAGGTGCTTCTCGCCACGCCCACCAAGAACACCTCGAGGTGAGGAGCGGCAGCTCCCAGGTACAAAAAGGCAGGAAAACCCCTTTAAAGACCCTGTTAGGAACTTGCGTTACAGTTACCCTCTGGAGCCATGAAAAAAAAAAAAAAAAAAAAAAAGCAGAGCTGAAGGGAACCTTAGGGGTCAAATGCCAGTGAAACCATTCTTTTCACACTTGAGGAGGACACTGAATATTCCACCAAAGATCACACCCCAGATCCAAATATGATCGCGTATGTTTGCACGGATCTTCTTGAAATGTGACTCCCATTGTGTATTTAAGTAGGGGGAAAAAATTAACGCCTTAGGTACTTGATATGACAGGTGTATATTCATCACCAGTTGAACCCCAGGTATCTGGAGGGGAGGTGAACAACAAACAGCATTTGTGTCCTTTTTAGTCCTATAAATGAGATCCTTTGAGCTGTAAGGTAGATATTATTTTTTTCCACCTTTTCCGTAAGAATGGTGCTCAGGGAAGTTAAGGAACAGAGCAGATGATCACTGAGATGCTTATGTTGAAAAGAACTTAGTTCTTTCCTACGGAATCTCTGGCCTCTCCTGGCAGTTTTCTTTGGAATTCTACTCATTCAACAAGGTCCTCAGGACTAATGTGTTTCTCTTCAGAAGAATTTGCTTCCTGTGCCAAGACATGCTTACCTTGAATTTGAATTACCAAGGATGATATGTTGATGCACAAGTGATTAAATTAATGTATTTTTTAGAATTTTTATAAATTTTAGATCATTTATATGTTTAAAAACCATATATTGTCTTTTTCGTATAGGACCCTATACAGATAACAAAGAGAATCATATGATCCAAGTCAAATTGAAGAAGATTTGTACTAGACATTAAAAATTGGTTGCAAATCCAACACAAACTGGTTTAAGAATCAATTTCCTCATAAAATCAGAAGATCCAAAGAGCACACTCCATTGAGATAAGATTGGAAACAGAAACTCAAACCATGAGACTTCTTTCTGCCTCTCTTGGCTCTGTGTTGTTCACTATGGTGTCTATTCATAGGCAGGCTCTCCCCATGGAGATACTTCATGCTCCTTTTAGAGAGGAGGAACTGAGGCCAAGGGAGGATAAGCAATTGGCTTAAGATCCCTTTCCCAGAGAGTAGCTGAGCCTATTTGGAAACTAGGCAGTCTGACTCCAGAGGCTTCAAAAGGGGAATGCTAACTGAGTGAATCAAACAAATAAATACTAAAGACATGTACTAATGTGTGGCCCTCACTTCTAGTATTGGGTATTATATGGACATGTCCAGAGCAAAG